AGCCAATTTTTGGTTGCGTTAGTCTATTCGCAATGTCAGTATAGGATTTCGATAGGCTAACACAACCAAAAATTGACTGATACAACCAATTAAAAATGCTATGCCATATTTTACCATCTAATTTGCTGCAGCAGCCAATCTTTTTTTTCAGTGTATAGATATTGTGACTGTCACTCCCAGTCACAGCATAATATCGTTTTCTCTTTTATGGAAAGCGACCGTTATATCGGATGAATTAAATCGTTATACGATTAATATGTCATTAATATAGAAACAGCAATATTAACTGTTTACTGTTATAAGTGGGAGAAAATATTCGACGATCCGACACACTACATACGGATACGGTTATTATGAGTGGACAGAGAGAAGCTTTTTTGAAAAGCGAAACTATTATTGGAGTGCGGGTAGTCTAAGATTCGATTATACATATAGTATATCTTCAAATGAAAATAACAAAAAATGAGCAAATTTACTAGAATATAATTTCATTGAACAATACCTAGCAAATTTGCTTACTTTTGTCATTTTCACCTTATTTCAAGCTACACAATCGATTCCCTGAGCGTGTGCTCTAAGGATGTTCCAATCTCTATGTGTATTTATCGAAAAGAAATATTTTCGCACTAGTTTTTTTAATTTAAGGCAACTCTGCCTTAACTACTATTGTAAAAAAATGTATTACGTAATAAAAATAGTTTTTATTCGATGAAAAAGATATTGAAATTAAGGTCCGGTTTTTCATTATTTGATTAACTTGTGGTTTAAACTTAATCTCACTTAACTCGATAATAATGTAAAAATTATATTGTTCTAGCTACAATTAATCACAAAATTAAGTTTTGTAGGGTGTGATAGCTTTAATAGTTACTACGAAATCATCAATTTAATGATTAACGATAGCCAGAAAAAAACAATTTTTATACATTATTATCAGGTTGAGCTTAACCACCACAAGTTAACCAGAAAATTAAAAAAACCGGGCCTAAAAGGACTAATGTAAAAAAGTCGGTTATAGGCTGATTCATCCTTCTCTTGCAAAACAAGTTCGAGCCAGATACAAAGTGTCATGTTTTGATAAAAAAGGATTGTGAGAATATTCGCGAATGTCGACATACACTCTGCTTCGAAATGACTTACAATTAGCAAATATTGAAGGGTTGGTTCTTTAGCGGAAAGCGCGCATCAAGTACAAACTACAAAGATGTATGCATTGGCATGCATTTGAATATTAATTTGTTACTTCTACCAAATTTTTCTTGTCCCGGCATAAAACGATAAGTATCAAGGAGCGAAGAATCGATGGAAATAAATAGTTGGGAAACGCTAGCCTGTATTAGAGATTCACAAATAAATTAAATTTAACGTAAAAAATCTTATTGAAAAAATCAATAAAGAATATTTTTAGGAAAGAAAGAGAGAGAGAGAGAGAGAGAGAGAGAGAGAATGCTTTATTTCACAATACACACAATCGCACAATTATTCAAATTGACAGCTGTATACATATTTAATCTTTCAATAAAGCTACACCAGCTATTAATTAGAAGTTATTAATTATAGATTAACGGGAATTAAGCATAATTTTTAATAGAAATAATAATTCAGCTTGTGCATTGCAAAAGTAGCGCATAATTAAAAATTTTTCAACGAGTGATTTAAGCGCAATGAGATCGCGCCGAGGGAGGATCTAGTAACTTTTAGGGATAAAACAGCATGCAACCACCTGCCGTCGCTCGTGCCACGAGGGTGGAGGAAAGCAACGGGAGATGGCGAAGAGAAGGAGGAGAAGAGAATGGAGAAACGCGAGAAAGGGGAGAACGGATGGACAAGGAGATGGCGGAGAGAACGCGCGTGCGAGCGAAGGGCGGAGGATGCACGGGGGAAGGGGGTAACGAAGGTAAAAAGCGGCGCGACGACGCGATATCGATTCGCGGTAACTGATCCGCGAACGTGTACTGTACACGATGCTCTTCGCTCTTCGCTCTTCGCACAGCGCGGCGCGAGAAGAATTAGGATTAGGAGACGGAGAAGAACGGACGCCCTGACGCTTTATAGTTTATATATAGAGGCTGAGCCACACGAGCAGACGGCCCGTGGCGCTTAAATATAGATGAAATGCAATGCGGGGTGTCTCCCGCGGCGGGGGGGACGCGAGTCGCGACAGAGATTCCAGAGAGGGAGGAGAAAAACCGACACCGAGACTTGGCGTGACATACACGAGTAACGCGAGAGAGCGCGCACATGGAGGAGAGGAGGAGAGATGATAAGAAACCAGAAACGACGGAACACGGCAAACGCGGATATAGAGGAAGAGGGAGGGAGGGAGGAAGGGAGGAAGGCGGATAAGAGATCCCGCATACGCGCAGGGAACAGCAGGGAACAATTATGGCCGACCGCGCAGCGTCGTCTGCTATGCTCCGGATGTAATCACGTAATGTCGTAATACGGTAATACGCGATCGGCACGTCGATCTGTACCTGCGCCCGTTCGCGCAGACGTTGGCACGCGCGAATATCCGACGAGGAAGAACCGAGGAGTCGCTCCGATTGTGGACGCTGAACACCGCGCACCGCGCCGGCAGGAACGACTCGCCTCCTTACCACCTTGCTCGTCTTCCTTTCTTTCTCTCGCGCTACGTTCTTTCGTTGCGAATATTATCAGTGAAGACGGCAAAAACGCGATAGAAAAAGAGAGTAAAGTGCGCGCGAGTGAGCGAGCGATGCGATGCGACGCGGCGCGGCGCGGCGCGGTGCCGCGCGGTGCCGCGACTCCACGCGGAGCAAGCGGATTTCGTACGCTACGCTCGCTCGCGCGGCGTGCGACCTGCGAATATAAGTAAAATTATGCTACTCACTTGCCGAGTTCCTCCTTCAGGTCGTAGTTGTCACTGAATCGCGTGCAAGCCGTTGGCACAGACATACCGAGGCTGCTCGCGATTAATTCAACCGCACTACCAGACTCGGAAA